TATTTTTAATTTTTCTAGATATGATTCGATTATACTGTATCACAGCCTATAATCACATTTGTGTTGCTAAAGAACGTAAGACATGACAACATAAGGAGGGCTGTCCTGGTTTGAGTAATGCAGGACTAATTTATCTTCCAGCAATTTTACTTTTCAGTAAGGTTTCTTCTAATGCCTGGGAAAATTGCACGTTTAGAAGACTCTGGTGGCTGAATTTGTGAAAATATTGACTTTGTAGCCAGCTATGGTGTGCGGGTTTCAAGGTCTCAGTGTTTTCGAGCTCACCAGGTGCGGGGATGAGGAGGAGCGAGACCCGGGCACTGCACCCAAGCTGCCAACAGGGGTATTTCATACCAGGAACGGCACATTCCAGAGAAATTAGAAAGTTTGCTGAGGAGTTCTCTCTCTCCCGTGATGGCTGCCATCCTGAGAACTCCTTGTCCCGGTGCCGGAGCCCTGAGCCCGTCCCTTCCTCCCAAAGCCGCAGCGCTCACAGTGTCCCCCATTGGCTGTCACTGCTGGGAGTGCACAGCTTCTATGGATAGAATGCTGAGGATAATCCTGGTATAGTGTTGTGTTGGTATCAGGATCAATATTGGTCTTTAGTATTATTAATGTTAATTATCTAATCTTATTCTATTAAATCTGTTTATATTTCAACTCTCAGGTTTCCTTGGTTTTTTCCCCAATTCCCCTTCCCGGTGGGTCATCAGGTGAGAGAATAACTGTCTAAACGACAATAAATTGTTGTGGGTTCCTCAAACCATAACAAGGGCTGTCCCAGAAAACAAATGATCAAGCAGTTTATGGGAAGAAGTAAACTACTACAAAACACTGAAACAGATGATTGTGAATTACTCACCTCTCACAAACTGCCTGGATATGATCTTTTACTAAAAAAAGATCTGTGATTTGAAAAGATTATTCCTTAACAAGAAGTATCAATAGCTGTAGTAGACTTATTTCATAAATGTAAGTTCTACTATAAAATAATTATTCCTTTCATTATCTTTAAGAGTATTCAAGTTTGACGTGATTAATTTAATTTTAAATGCAAGGGGTTTTTTATATTGAAGAGGAGATACCAGTGTATTTTAAGAAAAACAAATTTAAGGCTTGTACATTCCTCTAGAAAAAGGCTTCTGAAGAAAAACATGATACTGAAGACAATACATGACTGGAGTTTAAAGTATTGTCAATTTTGTATTAGCAAAAATAAGTACAGGATCTATTTTTGAAAGGTTATTTTTGAGGTGGTTTTTTTTAATAGAACAACAGGTATCAAGAATAGAAACACTACCACACGAACAAAGGGCAAGTTCTACTTAGAAGAAACTTCAGCAAGATCCTCAGAAGTATTTTTTAAAAGTGATTTCAGTGAGCTATTTCTGCACATCTTGGTCACTTAGGTGTTTCAACAGTACATTTTAAACTTGAAAGAAGTATTGTAACATCCAATAGCTTACCTATGTTATGACTGAAATACACTGAACATAACGTGGGAAATATTGTCTATTTCGAAGAGGTAAATGTCAAAGCTGAAAACACATTAAAGAACATAAGTGAAAATCCAGGTAAGAGGACGTTCAAGCAAAGGAGAGCAAAAGTTAAGACAAGGTCTTAACCTTTTTCTTACCTAATATAATATTCATTCATCTCACTTCTAGCTGAACAATTAGAAAGAACATTTTACTAAACTCAGTTTTCCTTAAGAACTCTGAGAAAAGCACCTTTCCATTACTAGAGATTGAGATTTCTTCCAAGGATTTCCACATCTTAGCTTGTTACTAACAAAGAATCACTAAATTTCACTTTAAAGTGCCATAGCAGGAAATGTTAGAAATTACTGCTGTAACTCTGATGCAATGTTTTATGACACTTCTTTTCAAAAAAAATTCTCATCTGTACCACTTCCTGAGTGAACAGGAGGCACAAAATTCAAAGACTTTGAAGTCTGTCAGTGTAGCATCTTCATTTTGTAAGGCATTAAATAACAATATAATGAACAATGACCCCTTTTTGAGGGGTCACATTAATAAAAAGATAGAGATGAGAAGTCTTTTACTGGAATTCAGTATTGAGTAAAGCAGGTGGAATGGAAGGTTTGCTGAGTTCACACGCTAGCACCTCGGCAGAAATATTTTCACCAGACATTTACACAGAAGCGTAAACTGGAGCGGGACTCCCCGGGGGGGGAACACACATGCTTTTCTACTCATTTTGCAAAGTGTGAGGAGTTTGCTATACTACTAACACCAGTAATATTTCAAAATTCTAACTATAGTGTATGTCCTCAGTGCACATAAACATTGGAACACGTCACTGAGGCAGCAGTTTGCTTTCAGGCTCCAGAGCTAGATCTATGCTGCGTGGCTGCAGCACTAATTAAGGAATACACAATCTAATTCCAGTGTACCCATCTCAGCGCTGCAGTGAAGTTGTGGGAGCATCTAGCAAGTGGATGCTGTGAGGTCCTTCACCTTTGGCAAGAGCTCCAGGTAGACATCCTCAATGGTAACTCACTATACTCCTTCAAATCCTCCCATACATTTTTCATGGTATGTCACCAAAATATTTGCCTAGGTCACTGGCATACCACAGGCGTCTACTACACTAAGATTTCTCTTTTGTGTTTTATAGTAAAACCCATATATATTAATCACCTGTGTCCACCACCTGTGCCAACAGCCGCCTTGTTTTTTTTGTGCTGACACAGCTCCAAATGTAGTGGCACCCCAGTGCGCTACTGGGACTCAGTCATACATTCATACAAATAATCACATTAGAAATAGCTCTGGCAGATGCAGCAGGCAACATTTGCACCCCTGCAACACAGAAAAAGCCTAAATGGCCCAAGAGGGAGATGATAAACTAAAAACCTGTCTTCCTTTCAGTTAAAAACAGCAGCAGCCTGATGAGCAGTCAAACAGTATTTTTTTCTGCATATGCATTAGAAGTTAATGTTTCCATGAGGGATGAAGTTTAAAAAGTATATATGCAGTTCCTTCATGAACCTTTCATGCATATTCTGGGGAAAAAAAAAAAAAAAAAAGAAGAAACAAATTGAACATTTTCTGTTGCTCATCAACTTTCACATTTTTATTTCTCGCTTCACTGACAGCCTGAAACCGTTCCCGGTAACAGTTAAAGAGCTCTGCAACACGCTTCAGTATTGAAACAACGCAACTTCAGTCACCCTGACATTTTGCAAAACTACAATTCTTTACTTAGAAAGATTTGGCATGCTTTGCAAATAGTTGGCGTATTACAGAGAAGTGCTAAAGAAACAGGTATATATCTGTTTATTGTAACAATTTAAAAAGGCAAGAGTATGCTGCTGTAATACTTTCCCAGTGAAGAAACAGTAAATACACTGTTTAGAGCAGTGTCCTTAAACTGGATCCAGCAAGATATGTTAAAAGCTACTTGTGAAAAATTATGAGTGAACAAATTGACAATCCTGATAGCAGAGAGGGGGATTATAGTGGTTTGCAAATGGAGAAAACACAACAACAAATATCTGACTTTATAGCAGCAATGTTCTCTGCACAACATGAGTTCTCAGAATTTGATTTCAGAATAACAAGCAGTGAAGAAGCTGGCCAGAAGTCATTTCGCTTTCTGCCACCGTCTGTATTATTGATGCTTTTATGCTAGCATTCTGCTAGTTCTGCAAGAACTTGGGAAAACTGAAGATCCGTAGATTTTTGTTTGTACAATTTCTAATTTGAAAAGAAAAAACCAACAAAGAAAAAACAAACCCAACCATAAAAACCTGACTAGCCCTCAAGGTGATGTTAAATGATATTTGTGCGTAAGTTAACTTTGTTTTTAAGCACACTTAATTGGCTTATGTTTTCCAAGTTTATGTCACAAGTACACCACATACTGTGTTATAACAAAGTAACATAAAAATATTTCCAAAGACATCTTTTGGATAAAAATGTTTTAGAGTATTTTATAAAAATAACATAAATTATTTTTTTAAATGAACAGCTATAAAATCCATGAACCAAACAACATGTAAAATTGACACAAGATTAAATATATTACACTAAAGGCCGGTTAATTACCACAGTGGTATGAAGCTTCAAGTAAATTACTAGGCACTTTTTGCCCAAACAGCAGCCACTCATTCAATGGAAAAGTCCAACTGACAGAAACGCCTGAAACACAATTGCTAAAGCTTTCTAAGATTCTAAAGTCCTCAAAAAAGTGCAGATAAAAAGGCAAAGACAAAAAGGCCAGGTATCATGCCACACAGGGTACCCACTGTTAGCTGCTTTCCTTACATGATTGTGTTCAGCTTAGTTGGAGTTCCTAAAACGGCGTTAACAAGTCGGCCCTCTCCATCTTACATGGGCATTTCTATTAAGGCTTTACATGTCGGAGTAGAGAGAAGCAATGGGCAAACAGCTAAAAAGCACGGCTGTGGGGTTGTACGTGAGCAAGTAAAGTAGCAGAACCGAACTGAACTTTGCTGTACTCTGAAAGAGCACTCATTACTTGCAGAATGCCAAGCAGTAATACATATCGTGCTCTGTACGATTTGTCATTGTGTGAATGACAAATTCACACAATGCACCACAATCAAACAGATTGTGCACCACAATCTGATAGCCTCAAGATCCCCAATACCTAGAAGCTAAACCTTTGAGCAAAAAAAAAAAAGAATGGACTGTCATGTGGGAATTTAACTATCGGTACCATGCATAAGCTACTATGAAAAATTGCTATTAAATGCCTAACATCATAGGAGGACAAAAAAGGGCAACTAAAGGAAGAAATTACATATTTCAAAGTACTTTAAAAAGCATTATTGACATTTAATATACTTAATATAAGTATATTAATATACCTAAGCATATTAACATACTTTGTATTAATTTAAAAGTTTAAAATTTTAGAAAGCAGCAGTTTGTGGCATGATTTTAAAGCACAGTTTGATTTTTTGGGAAGAAAAGCAGAGCACTGAGTAGTCCTTAAGAAATCACGTCATCTCAATCAGGTGCAAAGTTCTCCAGCTGGAAGACCAGGTCTACAGCAGCATCGACGTCTGGTACAATATGATCTGGTTCTACTAAACCGGGATCAAATCTAAAATCTCTGTGGCCATGGAACACCGTTTCAGTTATGCTCTCCCCGGTCTCCAAGGGTACCTCCGTGTGAGGGTTGTAAACCCCAGTACAAACAAGAACAGACCTACAGTGGGCGGCAGCTGCAGATGCTAATTCGTTTTCCCAACTGTTGTCTATTTCATCATCCTGAGAGAGTGTGGCAGATCCTCTGCCACCAGCAACTTTGGCTTGGATCCGTGATTTTGAACCTTTTCTGGAGTTTTCTTCAAGATAGCGATTGTAAAGGTTAGCACCATAAACATCAGTCATGAGATTATCTCTGGAAACATAAGAAAAGAGTTTAGTCAGCACTGCAATTTTAGTTGCCAGTTTTCAATTGTATGAAAGACATTTCTACGGTTTCGATGTAACAGTTCATTTCATACTTTACATAACTTTATGTGGAAGCATGCAGATAGGAAGACATCCATTCTTATAGCTACTTTATTACACCATTTTCATTAAGCATGACATACAATAAAAGTGAGTAACTCCCCATATTGACACTGCAGACCAGGGCAGGGGGAGGGGAAATCAAGCATTGGTATTAGCAGCCCATGAATGAGCTTATTGTATTTCCAAACATCTTGGAGATTCTGAAACAGTCTTTAATACAATACAGCTTTCTCTCTTCCTATGAAAAGGATTCTATGATGTGACAGCATGCACAGCAGCATATGACTGAGCTTAATGACCTCACAAATAAATTCTAGCTCTACATTCCCTAATAACCATCGTTTACTCAAAGCTTGGTGTTACACCAGTAAAACTAACAAAACAAAACACCCATCCAAATTCTTCGTGATAGATTTACACATCCCATTACAGAAGTTTAAAAAAAAAAAAATTCTGAGAAATCTTAGATGGACATAAACCACTTTTTGTGCTTCTCCAGAAATTACACATAGAAAGAGCAAAGCATTATGAATTTTGAAGATTAGAAACAGTGGGGCTCGAAAACATTACAAAGAGTACACCGTCACACCAAGAACGTTAGGTGGTCCCAATGGTATGAGAAACAAAGTAGTAAGAGTTGTGTATTTTTCATTGCTGGTATTTATGTTGCGAGTAATCTCCTAATGAACTCATTAGACTTCTGATATCTTACCCAACAGCATAAAGCGTTTGAATAGGTTGCTTCCATTGCCGTTCTGCTGCCTGAGCCCTGATGAGGTATTCTGCGTACTGGTAGGTTAGTTTACTAGGTTTGCCCATTAAGGCCTCATATTTCAGATCTTTGCCAGTGATCTTCTTGTAAATGTTTTCCAAACAAACCATGAACGTTCCATGCCCAAACCTAGAGAGACATAAAGACAAAACAAATTATATTAAGGGCACATAAAAAAAAGCAAGGCCTCTTTATTTCACGATCTTTTAGGAATAAATCATATTCCATAACTATCAAATTTCCCTCCATTTGCATTGTTTCACTGAAAATGAAGTGCTGATTAGCTGAACAATAAAGACCACAATAAAAACATGTTACTGGGAGAGCACAACAGACTTTTCTATTTTTAAAATGTAGCAATAGTTTGTGTTAGTGTTACTTGCATTTAAGTAGATAGATACCCTAGTTACAAAAGTGACGCTTCTTGAAATAATGCCTAGCCTGTGATGCACTCTCTGCAGTCACCTAACAGAATCAGCTAAATTAGCAAAGAGGAGGAATGGAAAAGGAAAGTTAGAATCAGACAGAAGGAAAATTGTTCTCTCCTTAAACACAACAGTACACCAAAACCCACTTGTAATATGGAAACAAAAACACTTTGTGGGTTTCTCTAAAAGAATAGAAGCAGAGGAGGATCAAGGAACGAACTCCAATTTTACAGCATGCTTTTGATAACTCACTCAGTTATTTTGATCAATGTGGAAACCAGTGATGATGGGTCAACCACCACACCAAGAAATCAGTAATTTAGAAGATGTAATCTTATGATGAAAAAAGCAGTTTTACTTCATTACTGAAGTCAGGGTGTGATATTAGGGATAAACTAATATGTACCACTTAAGAAATATGGAATTATCAAAATCACAAAAGAAGAGTAAAAGGTTGCTATACAACAATTCCATAGACAATAAATAACACATAGTTCTTCAGGAGAGCTGCTAAGTAACTTCTAATGCACACAGATTAGCATAACTGCTAGAACCAGGTATCTACAGCCTAAAAAAACCAAACACCACTATAATGAGCATCAGAAGCCAGCAGAGATATACAAGGTGCAGTAACAGAGAAATTAAATCTCTAGTGGCCTAGAAATCAAAATAGTTTTTTAAGGAAAAAAGCTACAAAGGAGGCGGCAGCTGTAGCACTTTTAAAGGTGGTACAGAATTAGCTTCTCTGAATTCTGCGCGAACCCTTCATTCCCTCTCTCCACCCTGATTGTTACTTTATATTACAAAATACCAATAAATAAGAATAAAATTATTTCCAGTAATTACTACCAACAGCTTAAAACTTAATCGTGGCATTATACCCCAACAGTGAAGGTAACAGCCCTCACAGATGCAAACTTGTCATACTGTCAAACTCAAAGGAAAAAACCAAACTTTATACTGGGTCTTTCCCAAAAGACACAACTGAAACTATGTATCCTATGCACTGTAGATATATTGGTTGCCTTACTCTAGCCTGAAACTATCATACATATGTATTTTGCCAACGTGCTAACTAGAAATGGCCTTTGCATCCAAGTAAGGATATCGGAGAAGATCTTCAACTCAAGATCAAGGCAGCAATCCAGTCACAATAATGACAATTTCATTCAGTGTATGTTCAGATTTTACACCAGGGAAAGCGAGAGGAAACAAAACTATCAAAGAACTACCTTCTACTGAAAACAAAATCAAACAAAACTACTATCAGAGATCATGCCACCTTGTTCTGTGTGTTCTACTTTTTTTTTTTTTTTTTTTACGTTCCTTAAAGCGCTCACTATATTGCCCTCAGGTCAAAAACACTCACTGCCTTCAACTAGCAGGGGCAACTGTTTACCTTACCAGAAACTCTAGGGTGGAAAAGAGAAATACCAAAGGAGGACCTAATGAAATGAAACAATGGCCTTGACAATTTTTTCATTTTTTCCTTTGAACTGAGAATCTGAGGCCCTCAGGCAAAAAACTGTCTTTCCCCACTCTTCTGGGAGCAGGAAACAAAGAGGTTTGTGGCTTAAAAGCAGTTTTTATCTCGAGTAACTGATTTCCTGAATGCAATAATGTAGACAGTAATAAGGCAGCACTTGCTGAAAGTGCATTGCTTTAGAGACGACGTATTCAAAGCTGAGACGTACTGTGAAGCTATAGCAAGCATTTTGTATAAAAGTATGTGTATTTTACTGAAGAAATGAGGAAACCCCAAACATATCACGATAGACACACAAGTTACAATTGCACTTACCTTGGAGACTGCGCTTCAGCTACCCACATCAGATCCATGTTACAAGCAAGCACGGGAATGTGAGGGTAGTTTTCCTGATGATAGGGATTTCCAGGATAGCCACTTGTCAGCAGAACATCTATGATCAACTGGAGGTTGGTTTCCCATCTGACTGGCTCTCCAAACAAAACAACAGCTATGAGAAAAAGAATTCCAAAACAGAGTTATGGAGTTAGTTCACAGGACACCAAACCTCTGACACTAAAACTTGGTCCAAAGAGACTGATCAAGTAATTTGATTTAACCGTGAACTAATGTAATAGTCACATTAGCTTAGGGTTTTAATATATTACATACCCATTTATTCACAGAAGATCTTAGAAGTAACAAGACCCCACTGCAAAATCTACAGGTTTAGGAATTTTATTTTTTTTTTTATTGGCTAAGTTTCTCCATAGCACCACAAAATATTAAGTTTTAAATCGTATTTCTAAGTCTTTCATACCTTTGTGAATTCTATGTTTACATACAGTATTTAAATAATCCATCAGAGATGCCATTTTCTTAAACTTAAAAAAAAATCTTGAATGTTGTTTTTAGACATTTTTCTGGTCTCCATTCATAATTTGACTTGGATTGTTTTAAATCTGAAAGTCCAGTTTCTACTTTCCTACACTTCAGATGAGACGAGGGTGAATATGGTATGCTGAAACAAGATGTTTCTCCTGCTACAACACTCAAGTGACCATCTTGACTACTATGCAAACGAGACTCATTTTCATTCCTCATTTTTAAAAGAAAGGCAAGAATAGCCTGTTCAAGGAAGACAAAAAGGAAAGCAGACCTCACCTATCTTCTGAAACTTCAAAAACACATGGCCGAAAAACTGCACACGTTAAAAAAAAATAGCTTTATCATCGTGATACATTCCAAATCAATGACAGATACTGTTAACAAGAAAATGTTAGAATTGCCTCAGCCGACTTCTGAAGCACCCAGCAATCTAAGAAGAAATTCTAATTATAAAGAAAAGTACAATAAAGAGATTTCATCTATTAAAGGATAGTTGCAAGTGAAGTAAAGAGAACTGACCCTCAATCTTGGGAAGCTCCACAGCAGAGGGGTACTGCAATAAGAAAAAAGTAAAAGTTTTCTACAAGATTAAACATCTACTACTATTTTTAACAGAATAAATTCAAGTATAGCTCCCACAGTTGCCTTCTGCAAGACCGACAGGAAACACGCTCTCTATTTTGGTATATACCTGACATCAGTTTACTTAGAAACTTGTATGTCAATTCTGAAGTGACTCTCGTGGCAAATGGACAGCAGACAAGTCAGCGTGTTCTACATTTGCGAGCCTCCTACATCTATTTAACTTCCTCTGGCAAGCTGTAAAGTTTCAGTTGTTTAATTACCTTTTGTAGGAAGGTATGGATGTTTACTTTTCCACAGCAGTAAGAGGCCTCTAGTACTAACAAGACATTTGAAAAATAGTTCTTGACATGTATTTCTTTAACACTACTAAGAAAGAAAAATACATTGTCTCACACATATTTGCTAGACAAATAAGTTTGTACTTCATTATTCACTCCCCATGGTGATAAATATATTAACAGTTTCTGGAAGTTCTACATGCGCTTGGTTGAAAAACAAAGCAAAAGGTGATATAACCCAGTTACAGATTCTGTGAACCACAAAGAATTTCTTGACAAATCCACTCTACTGACCCTGGATATGTACAATACACACATGTATTTACTGTGTATGTACTCACTTCTTTTTGAAATTCTGCACAATTCAGTTGAAACCATAGAGTACGTACCGTTAGTATTTTAAATATATTTAAATAATAGTATAAACAAGAAAGGGAGTCCTTTGGCAAAAAATGAGTTATCTACAAAGCATTAATTTACAATCTAAGCAACCTCAAAGCCTAGAAACAACACCAAGACAACCCTACACTGAAGGAAAAGCTTATTTTGTCTTCCACACATGTGAGGAAGCCAGTAAGCTCTCCAAGACAGATTCTGAATTAGGTATCTGTACTAAATTATAAAGTTTCCCACAACAGAAAGTTACAAAACCAAAGATTGTGTTTAAGAATTACCACTGATAGAAAAAAGTCTATAATCATTCTTGAAAATGCTGTAATAAAACAAATAAAGAAGCTGAAAAGCAAAATCAAAATACAGTGTAAGAACAGCAGCATTAGCTGGGTAGTTTAGATATTGACCCCTATCATAGAATGTCATCTAATGAGCAAACAAAGAATTTGAAAACAAAAATACTCACTCACCAGAACATCAGGTCTCCTGTCATGGTCAACTACATCTAGCAAAGGGTGTTTCTCCCGCAATGTTTCAATGGTAATAGGTTGACAGAAACCAAGGCTGGGAAAATACCAGTTAAGGATACAGAACTGCTTAAATTAAAAGATTTTAGAAATCGGTAATTCCATTTTAACAATTTTAACATAAGCAGTTTATCTGGTACAGGAAATAATTTATACATGAAAGCAACATTTCGAAGACTGATGTTTTCTTCTGTGAGATAAACAGACAATCATCCCATTACTTATAAGTGGGAGACATATGTGTCTGAAATCTTCAGGCAGAAATTATACATAAATCTTGCTCAAAATATGAGATGAAAAGCAAGAAGCCACTCTACACCTGCAATACTGCAAGATCACCTTTACATAAGCACAAAAAGAAGTTTACCTGGCAGCAAGACAACATCTTCTGTAATTATTAGAGGAAAGAAATATGAGCTCGTGGAGGAAACAATACTGTCTCCACAAATCGTGCTTTCCTCAGGCCATTACAGCCACAAAGGCACTGCGAGATAAACAAACACCATAAAGCTCAGCCTCTTGCAAAATGGTGGACCACTCAGCTTTAATTATGCTCTACAAGTAGTTAAGATAAGTACCAAGACACAGCAAAAAAGGGAAGGACCAAGAGGGAAATAACAACCTCCCAATTTGCATAGCACTTCCCTTAAATGCTGATATAACCCATGAATTTAAACTTAATTAACAACAGGTAATCAAATTACAACAGCTTGTTTTCGTAAAAAGCAGTTTGTGATGCTACTCTCAGTTCTAAGAGGACTTCTCACAATGCAAATGAAAATAAGAGCTATCTAAATATATCAGACAAACTAAGCCACCTGATTTTGTATTGGAATTAACACCACAGGCCATTTGTACAGTTATTTTAAAATAAGGTCATCCCATATGAAAATACTATCTAACGGAAGTAAAATTTTTATATTTTGTATTCACTCTTGTAATATACTTTTCTCTTAGCCATGCCTAACAAATTTTGACAGTTAACTGGAATGTTCCTTCAGTAACTTTTTCTCACTTTTGTATTTGAAATAAAGCTTATACTTAAAAGTGGCGTATACATTTTTTTACAACTTATTATTTACACCAACTATAATTAAAATCCTAATAAAGGAAGAAGTGCAAAAGGGAGTTACTGGAAACATGAGCGAAGATTATGCAAAGGTTAAGGTCATTAAATTACAGTTTCAAGCTTTGATACCGCCGTTACATCAACACAATTCAAGTTCTTTTTGGCAGTTAGTATAGAAGCGGAAAAATAGTCTCCAGTGTAGTTCTACTCTGGATCTTGGTTACAAAACCAGTGTGGCCGGGCCTGGCTGCATGCTTACAAGCAGATCTTGAGCCACTGAGCTGAAAGTCAGATGTGATAAATCATAGATAGAATGGCATGTTCTCATCCTCAAGAGAGCACGAACCCTTTGTGCTCGTGTCATTTACATACAAGCAAAAAGAATAAAAAGAATACTTTCTCTTTTTTCCTTCCCCATTAAAAACCGACAGAATGAAGTGAAGCAAATATCAACACACCAACCATTTTCAAAATGTAAATTTGACATCACAGTAAGAACCACAATTGCTTATTACTGCACGTGTAGTGTGGAAATATTTGGTCTTCACTTGATCCACAGGATTCCCTGAACTTGATTAAGGAAAATAGCTAAACAGAAAGTTGTTTGTGGGTGGGTTGGTTGTTTGTTTTTTGTTTGGTTGGTTTTTTTTCCCCCCAAAGATACTCTCGAGCAATCTCAAGAAGCGGTCCTTGTCCAGATACGAGAACACATTTTTCATGATAACGTTTGAACATCCGCAGAGGACTGTGTGACATCATCACTTGATCTTGTGAAATCTGTTTGGGATTTAAAAACAAAAGGAGTCTGTTTTTTTCAGGTAAGTTATTTATATGTAGATTTAACTAACAAGTGTGACAAATTCTGTGAGTCACAACACAATCATACATTACTACCTAAAACCCTAACATACCGTTTTCTGTTAAGTTTCACAGGCAATGTATTGATAATATGCCAGAAAAGAAAACCTACTGACAAAGAGCAATACACATCCCTTTCAGCTTCCAGTATTACTCTACTCAACATGAACATGAGGTTTTCTCTCCTAGTTTTATAGAATCACCAAATTCGTTTGGAAAACGATCAGGGAAAAAGAATCAGAACTGCCCTAGTTCCAATTGTGGTACCTTTGCCAGGCTGCAGCATTGATTTAATTGCATCAGAAGACCTTAGTTTACACGTCCCATTCCTTCAATAGGTATAAAACTGGTAAAATTATTATCCTGGAAGGATGCTGTTATGAATCGCTACTTACCACCTTTACAGATCACAAAAAAAAACCCAAAATAGTTGAGATGTCATTTTACCCACGGCACAGAGGATTTTATTCATACAGATATGCCCACATCTGCCGGCCCTCACTGAAAGGGCCGCAGAACTAACTTTACAGCTTTATTTTAGTAGCGCTCAAACAGAGTCTCCAACAACGGAGAAGTCCTACTGCCTGCAGCGCCCACAAATCAGGGGGGAATAAAGTTTTACCGCTGGTATCAAAGAGGGGCATGTTATCGCAGAAGACACTCAGCTTGCTAGAGCAGTTTCATGTTACTGGCACACATATTTTTTTATGCAGAAGGAGAAGGCAAGATTTATTCTCACAATAATAAAGTTGTGAAGAAACACCATTACCATTGGAACAATCAGTACCTTTACCAATGGCAATACCATTAGCTTTGGACAGCATTTTTTACTTTTATAACACCTCCCGCAAAGCATTTCTGAGGGCTTAAGGGAAAAATAAAACTGATTTAACTGAGCAGCATTTAATGGAAGATAATACATTTGACACATTCACCATAAGTAAATAACTAAATGAGTAAGATTTAAGCTACTCACTGGAACTCCCAATAGATGAGACAACTGATCCGCTTTTTTCTGGCGAAGGCAATCCCCTGCATTGGTGACAAATAGTACAGGCACCAAGAATTGTCCCTGAGAATTCACTAGCTTTTGAAAGGC